ATCATTTCATCAAGCTGAAGGAAATACTCTCCTTGTACTGATAAGATAAGTTCGGTATGTCACGTAACAAATGGAGGAAGAGAGAAGTGACGTTGTGATAATTGAAATTATCAGAGCAGGTGGTCTGACGATGTTGAAAGCGGAGAGGTTCAGTTGCTCCCTGGAAACTGGAAAGATACCATGGAGCTGTTAGGAATCAGAAACAGTCGTGTTGTTTAAGAAGGAAGGTCTAGAAAACGACTTCCCAATGTGCCTGCTCTCGCAAATTTTCAAGTTGTTCAGTAAGATTATCAGCAGCGGACTTCCAACAAGTCTGGACAGACAGCAGCGAAGAGAACAATTGAACTGCAGCACAACGGATAATATCTTTTTCCTATGTCAGCTGGAGCCCGTGAGGGAATTCCTGCTTCCTGTGTGCCTATCAGTCTCATTGGTTTTCCTGCACTTTCATGATCAGACTTTTTTGGCGTCCTTTTCATAAAGCTTATGGTGTGAGGCTGATGTTCGTTTCTCTACCATCAGTCAGGAGTGACTTCTTTTTTGAAATTAGAGTCTACAGCTATGCGGTAAGCGCAGTGTGCAGTCTCTTGTTTCCTTCCCATGGTATGGTATTCATTTATCAACGTTGGAATGAGGAAGGGTGAGTGATCCCGACTTAGCCTTTTACTCGGGATCTGCCGGTTCTGAGTTCGACGCTCTTGTGACTGAGCAGCCTCACTCTGAACCTGTGACGAGCCCATTTTCTACGTTGTTTGCTGATTACGATAAAGCGTTCGTCACTGTATGGACTGCATTGACAGAACAAGGCATCTTTATTCTTCACATCAACCTACTAAGGGAATTGAACTCTCGCTGCTTCACAAGCACCACCCTCTTTGACACCCTCTCCCGATTCCCGTAAAGATGGGCGCGAAACAGAGGCACACCATTTTTCTTAAACTCAACACTGCCTGTTTTGAAATGGTGTTCAGAAGGATGTACTGGAAGGACATGAACGGTTAACACCTCAGGCACATAAGTTCGTGGAAGACGTGGTGTTGCGCGGAAAATATCAGTCTGTTACAAGACATACTGCAAGAACCCGAGAGAAATAGTGCAGAAATCGATCATATATGAAAATATTGCAATCATATACCCTGTCGAAGACCCAGATAATATTTTTGACAGTGAAAAGATCGAAATCTTTTGTAAATACATATACCTAGTCCAGGAGATCAGCATGCATTATGATCTGGCTAGAGAAATTCAGATAGAAAAAGGATCTCCACATTG